CGTCGCTGGATTTTGTTTTATCATTGGCTCTGGAAACAGTAAATTTGTATTTCTTTCTTTCTTTCTTTTTTTCTGGTGAGGAAGATTAGCCCTGAGCTAACATCCGTTGCCAATCCTCCTCTTTTTGCTGAGGAAGATTGGCCCTGGGCTAACATCCGTGCCCATCTTCCTCTACTTTATGTGTGGGACACCTGCCACAGCATAGCTTGATAAAGCAGTGTGTAGGTCCATGCCCGGGATCTGAATCCACGAACCCCAGGCTGCCAAAGCGGAGCATGCAAACTTAACCACTACGCCACTGGACTTGCCCCAGGATTTATATTTCTTTAGATAAGTTAAGAGTTATTTATGCCCTGTGCTGTGAAAAGAGTTTAGCCATCACTGGATTCACAAAGCAATCTACTAGTAGAAAAGTCTGCTTTTTTTCATTCGGAGACAAAGAATTGTGAAGTCTCTCATATTTTTCATGTGGCCTTAGGAAACAATATCATTTTATAAGATTTGGGCACAGCTGTGTTTTTTTCTTATTGTACCAAATATTTTTTTCATACTAATCATGAGTAGAGTGTTCAAGTGTCCATTTCAAACCCTGAGAATATTGTGTCAGTCTTAAAAAATAGGAGAAGAACATGAAATTTGGCTTACACATTTGTTAAAAATAGTTCATTTGTCTCCATGATAGAACTCTTTCTGTGGTACAAAGAAGCTGAGTGTTTTGCTCGGTTGTTTTAGTCCGTATACTTTCTTTTTGGCTAAATCCAGTGTTAGTACATTACAGTACTTTTTAAATTTATTTATTTATTTATTTGTGAGGAGGATCAGCCCTGAGCTAACATCCACGCCCATCTTCCTCCACTTTATATGGGATGCCGCCACAGCATGGCTCAACAAGCAGTGCGTCGGTGTAGCCGGGATCCGAACCGGTGAACGCCGGGCCCCCGCAGCGGAGTGCGTGCACTTAACCACTACACCACCAGGCCGGCCCCCACATTGTAATACTTGAATCGACTACTTGTGTTATTGTACCTGCAGCATTTGCATCACACAGATTTTCTCTTACGTGAAACTTTGCCTTCACTTTGAATTTGCTACATTTATATAACGTCAAAGTGTGAGCATTAAATTCATGGGTGAAATTTACCTGGGAGGGATGGTCAGTCAGTTGGAAGATGGCAGCAAGATTCAAAATGGGTCCCCATTAATTGAAGTAGTATTCAGAAATTCAGAAGTAGGTTAAATGGATAAAAGTTGGGTGTAGTGAAAGCCAGGTTGAGACACTTTTAGACTGTGGGCTGTAGAAGTGAATTATTCTGGATTTGTGGCAGCCGTGACTGTGAAAGTAGTGCTGAACCCAAACTGGGCAGCTCGGTGCTGGGCGTGAGCCCTTGTGCTGCCCGTTACTGGCCATGTCATCTTAGCCCTGATGCCTCACTTCTCCAAGGCCTTTTCTTTTCCGTGAAATGAGGTTGAAGACATCTGTCTCATTGAGCTTTGAGAGCATAAAATGACAATGTATTTCAAAGTGGCAAAGTATAAAGGGTTGAGCACAAATTTCTTTCTTTCTTTTTTTTTTTTGTGAGGAAGATCGGCCCCGAGCTAACATCTGCCAATCCTCCTCTTTTTGCTGAGGAAGACTGGCCCTGGGCTAACATCTGTGCCCATCTTCTTCCTTTATGTGGAAGGCCGCCACAGCATCGCCTCACAAGCAGTACATTGGTACGTGCCTGGGATCCGAACCGGCGAACCCTGGGCCGCCAGCAGCAGAGCGCGCCCACTTCACCACTTGCGCCACCTGACCGGCCCCAATTGAGCACAAATTTTTTTGGTTTCCTTTATAAGAGAAAGGATATTCAGGCGGTGGAGACCACTGTTTTCCCTGTCTATATTAAATCTATCTTAAATTGTGTGTGAGTAGGGGGTGGGGGAGGTAGGCACACGTATGCACGCTTTGGGGGACAAGCACTGGATTTGTACTTTGGGGGAGAGTCAGGAGCCCTGGATCCTGGTTTGGGCTGTGTCATTTCTTCATCGTGATTGGCCTCCAGAAGAGTGTTATAAGAGCGAGTTGTGACTAGAAGAACTTTATAAACTAGAGAGGACCTTATAAATAAGATTTACAGAGAGAGGGCAGAGAGAGGAAGAAGAGAGAGTACCTTCCATTCCCTTGCCTTCCGGTCCTTCATTTTACTAAGCTGTTCCTGCTTTCCTTTTGGTATTATACCAGTCAGGGTCCCAGCAGGAAGCACATGGCACCCTCCAGCTGGGTGACTGAGGAGAGTTTTATACAGTGGCTGTTGACAAAGACGTGGGCCAGGTGTAGGTAACCAGTGAGGGCTAGTGCAGTAACCAAGGGCCAGGAGTGGGAGGGAGCAGTTACAGGAACCCAGAGAGGGCAGCTGTCTGGGGCCTTTTGGAGGGGACACAGCATATCTGTGGTGCCCTTGCAGGGAAGGAGCTGGGGGCATAAATGCCCCTTCCTCGTTCTCCTGCTCTCTGGTCTCCTCCTGGTGTCTCTATGGACTAAACCCGCGGAGAAGACCAAGGACAAGAGGGCTGTTCATATGAAATCCTTTCTGGTCAGCCTCCTGGGGCACCAAGCAAGATGAGAAAATACAGAAAGAGGATCCCTGGGTGTGTCCTGGGGCAACAGGAAAATGTCTTACTTTGGAGTTGATTTTTGGATTTCTTTTTCCATCCTCTTAATGTCTCTCCATTCATTCTTCGCCCTGTATTCTGCCTGTTCAGATTCTTCACTGGTGGGATGACCAGGGGCTTAGTGTCAATCCAGAGAGGTGCCAAGTGTTGTCTGTTCTAGCCTAACGTGACTCCAGTGAAACACAAGCCAATGGAGTTTATACTTTGTTTTCTGCTTCCTTGTTTTTGTTTTTGGGGGTGAGTATATAAAAGCTTCTCAGAGAGCCAGGAGAGAGAGGCCCTATTGCCTGATTCTTTTTCCTTTTCTTCTCCTACCATTAACGTCACATATTAAGATTTCTTCTTGTTTTTGTTGTGGAAAAAACTGGCAGAGATTCTGATTCGATGATTATGTCTATAGCTGGGCCCTCATGGGCCGGCCCTGTGGCTTGGTGGTTAAGTGCGCGCGCTGCGATGCTGGCGGCCCGGGTTCGGATCCCGGGTGCGCATCGAGGCACCACTTCTCTGTCCATCCTGAGGCTGAGTCCCACATACAGCAACTAGAAGGGTGTGCAGCTGTGACATACAACTATCTACTGGGGCTTTGGGGGCAAAAAAAAAAAAAAAAAATCTTTATAGCTGGGCCCTCAGAGCAAGCTTTTGGCGCTGAGATACCGTAATAAACAGAAAAGCCATCTGGATCTCCTTAAGTACTTTGAATTGCTCTGGAGAGTAAAGGTACTGGTTTCTTTCCATAAATTGTTGATTGATAATGAGATACAAATTCATAGCATTATTTCTATTAGAGATTCTACTTTTTAAAGACTTCTTGTTTTTTTCCAATATTTGTGGTTGGGATTATAAAATATTCATTTTAAATTCTTTAGATTACTCTTGTTAAAATGGGTTGATAGCATTCACATTGCAGTGTTAACTTTATACTTCAAGGAATTCCAGATCACTGTTAAAAGTCATATGAAAGTGATAAAGGAATTGGCGACTGCAGGACTGTGGGGCTAGAAATCATCTTTCATTGTAACTGTGTGAGCCTTCTGTATTTACCAGGACATCTGCAGTCACTTAAGAGTGCTTCTATGAAAACTGCAATACTGATTTGAATTTTTGTGATTGTTTATAAAGATAGTAATGAAATCCAACCACCAGAAAAACAAAACAAAATTAGGACAGATGTTGTATTCCTAGTTTTTAGTTTTCCTTGTCTGCTTTTTTTTTCTTTTTAATGCCTTGTAGATAGGAAATGGCAGTAAGGAGGCTGTAGTCTTTCTGGGTTTTATTATTATATTCTTCCATGTTCAATATCCAAATAGGTACTTTTAGTTTTTTTCCACATTGTTAGGGGAACATAAAGATATTTATTGTTTTGGAAATCACATGGAAATTTGAAAGCGAGTGAAAAATATTCAGAAGTGAAATGACATATGAAAAAAGCCATTTATGTTTAGAAAAATGAAGTTTTTAGATTAATAGTTTTAGATTCATTGTGGAAGACCTATGTTGTCACTCAGTGAAATGATCTCATCTTTCCATCTTTCCTGCTTCCCATGGACATTTGCATCTTTGTTAGGGATTACTTTCAGGCTTATGGTAACAGAAAAGTAATACTGAAGAAGGGAAAAATGAGACAGCACAGAAGAAAAAATCCAATAACATTAAATTTCTATATCATGTTATTAGTCAAGAACAGGCAGAAGAAAGGAGAGTCACCGTGGCTTCTTTGAATGAGGTGATTCCTTGAAATAACTCAGCCGACCTAACCCCCTAGAAATAAATACAGTTGATACTTGCTGTCTAGAAAAATCCTGATTCTTATCTTATCTGGATACCATGCTCCCGGTACACCCCATTTTAAAATAAGAGAAAATGTCTAGAAAATTTTCAGGCATTTTTCTCTTATTATTCTCTGAACAGCACTGGTGTAAGCACATTGTCTTTTCCAGACCCAAATCCTGGCTCCACATCCCAGCCTCCTGGAAGTGTTTCAGATATTCTCCAAAAAAGGAGAGCTTTATCAAGTGTTTATTCTTTCAAAAGATACTGTTTTCATTGTGTTTCTTATAAGATGCATGGTTACAAATCACTATCAAAATTCCAAGATGAGTGGTTACCAAAGAGGTGACAATTTTTTTTAAGCTCGTCTGCCTCTGAAATGGACTCTCATCCCTCCGATTTTGCTGAGTGTTCACCGGCGGTGACGTTTCCACCTGTGGCGATGCCGCTGTCCTGTGATGTTCCTCTCAGCAGGCTGCTGGGGAAAGTCAAGTCCAAGCCGCCTTTTTGGGTTTAGTTGACTGGGAGACGGTGAGAAGGTGTCATGGTCTGATGAGCTGCTGTTGTCCATCTTTCAGGGACAGGAGAGAGTGGCAAGAGTACGTTTATCAAGCAGATGAGAATCATCCACGGGTCAGGATACTCTGATGAAGACAAAAGGGGCTTCACCAAGCTGGTGTATCAGAACATCTTCACGGCCATGCAGGCTATGATCAGAGCCATGGACACACTCAAGATCCCCTACAAGTACGAGCACAATAAGGTAGGCGTGGCTCCTCTTGGGAAGCGCTGGCGAAGCCGTCCACGGTGCACGTGGTCTCTCACGCTTCTGGGATGCATAGTGGGTTTTTGAAATGTATGTTTTTCATCTCATCCTAAATGGGACTTTTAATGGTTCGATAAGTTATTTATAAATTTTTTTTTACCTCAGTCTTTCAAGTCACATCTATAAAAAATTGGAGTTGTGTTCTTAGCGATATCAGTGAAAGACATATTTGGATGTTTGATCATAAATCAAGCTTTAAAATATAGGGGCACGCATTACATTAGGAAGACAGTTTATAAGTTCAAGACAAACTGACCAGAGTGAGGGAATTCAGAGAAGAGGCAGAGGCCTTGCTTCAACCTCCCACTTTTTGTGCTTCCTTGAAAAAAGAATGAAAACAGCTTCAGACCCTTCTGTCCGGTTTAATTTTGGATTTCGTGACTGCCTTTCAGTAGTGCCACGGGCTGAATTTTATTTCAAAATAGGTCCATCTGTCACTTCCAATAACCTTTTAAACACGTTTCCCTGCAATTGTGTTAAAGTAATGGAAACTTCTAAAATCACTTGAGAAAGGGTTAGGAAAAAAAAATCTAAAATTTCAGCTTTTCAGAAAATAAGCAAACTTTTCCAAATCTGGGATTCTCTCTTAGTTGGAATAGAAAAACCAGGTTTTTTATTCAGGTGAAAACAAAGACTGTAATTGTTCGCCCTCCAAATATCATAGATACATGATGCCAGACAAGGTTGGTGCATCTGAGGGCGGCTCCAGGTCCGAGTTGTGCTGCAGTTGCCCTACATTTAGCTCATGGGCAAGGATTGGAGTTAGAGCAGGGAGTGACAGCCTGGGCAGGGTCTCCTCCTGAAGGAAGGGAAATCTATTTGGAATTTGTAGAAATGTCTTTATAGTCTGCTTTCTTCCCCTCCTGTTAATCAGTACATCCACTGAGGGATGCAGTCTGTGCTCCTTGGGGCTGATCTTATGGTAAGCTGGTAAAGCCTCATCTTTGGTTGACAAAATACTACATTTGCACCTACGATTTTTCAAGGCCTTCAATCAGAAGGCCCTTTCAGTCTCTCAGTCCTCTTGATAATCTACTCTTAGGGATATTTCCATATGCCAGGATCAATAGGTAATAGCAAGAAGTTAGCATGCCCACTGTGACTCATAAACTGATTCAAAAATGAATCATCGGTAAAATAAAGCAATTCTGTGTACCCCCACTTCTGTTACCATCTAGAAGCTTCTAAATATTATATTGATCATCTTAGAAATCAGGCATTTCTTTTTCTTGGATGGTTCCTTGAAATTAACTGGCTGTTTCTCATCTAATTGATACCCTCATGCTTAGTTTTCCGATGGCAACAAGAGACTCTCCACAAATAACAGAGAGACCCTCCACATATACTCCCTCCTGCTTCTGCTCTCAAGAGCGAAAAAGGTCTGGGCAGGTTTGTGAGCCTGGGAACATAGAACCAGATGAGGCTGCCTGGATATCTAAGCAGTCTGAATTTAAAAGGATCAGGGGTTTTTTTCCCCTTAAGAAATCTCAGTGTAATGAGTTTCTGAAATAGGCAGCGTGCTTGTTTTGTTGCAGTTGTGAGACAATTCAGGAAGGAATTTTTTTTTAATGCCAGTGACTTTCCCCACCTACAGTTGGTTGATAATATGATGATCTGATGAATTCTGGCTGAGTTACCATGTGGGTGGTGTGATCGATATGTATATACATGTGTATATATAATAGACACACACATTGCCGGTTTACGTTATAATATACTACAATCTCCCTAAATTATACCAAAAATCACCTTTCCTGGATGTTCCAAAAAATTCTTCAGAAACTTGCCTCGATATTAGATTTTCATATGAAGATCATTTATTGTACAGTTATATTGATGTAGAAGATGGAATGGAATTTATGCCTTATTCATATAACACATTGAAGAATATTTAACAATGTGTGTTATTTGAGCTCTTTGTATCAATTCTAGTTCAGTAGACTTTACCATGATGAATACCATTCAGTTAAAAATCAACATCATAAAAAACTATATGATTTTTCTCAGATATAAGGATCCTGTGAAATCTTCCCGTGTCTCTTGGTTGCTTGACATATTGCCTAATGTAGTGACATTAGTGTGTGCTCACGTCTGAATTCTTCAATATGTTTAATCCCCTTTAATTCATAACATAAATTACTTGCACATTTATTCCACTTTCTGTCTAATATATGTATATTCTAAGGCATCACCCCTTCTTTCATCCATTAACTTACCTCCTGAGCTCTGCCCACTCCTTGCCTTTGTTAATGCTGATTAAACAAATAATGTCGTCTTCCTGTTCCACCCAACTCTGCTTCCTCTTAGAGTTCTTCTCTACTCCCGCTATAGTACTAAGGAATCCCACCCCCCTGAGCAGCACCCACAGTGGAGTATTTATAATTGTCTAGCTTGTATTAATTATGACGATCTGGGTATTGATCTTATTTTCCTGAGTAGACTAAGCTCTTTGAAAGTAAATTTGTGTCAGCTTCATCTTGGTATTCTTCATTGTCCCTGGTATTGTATTTTGTACGTAGTAGGTGCTCAAAAAATACTTTTTTTCTGAATAGATAAATCATTTGTAAGCTTAAACGACTGGAAGTCTCCTCCTCTGCCCCCAAGTTGTTGAAATGATTATTCAAGTCAACAGATAGCTGTTGAGATTGTTCTGTATGCATAAGGGAATAAATGCAATGGGCTGTCAGGGATGCAGGGAAGTTTAATCAGGGCTAAGCAGAAATTTACAATCCAGAAAGAGGCAAGGGCATAGCTGAGGGCAGGACACTTTAGGGAGGAAGATGGCTGGAGTAAAGCTTCAGAAAAAGAAATGTGCATGCAATGTGTCAATTCTACAGTTTAACTTGAAAAGAGTTCTTATAGAGAACTGGAAAACAAGAACCAAAAAATGGTTTAGAATGTGCTTCTGAAAGGTTTTGAATCCAGGCTAAGAAGTTTGAATTTTATTTTCTTATATTTATGATACCTATTTAATAATAATTTTTTTATGTTTTGGTTAGAATTTTCTACAGAAGTTTCTGGTTACAGTATACTCTCATATTTTACAAATAGTTTAAAGGACATGGGGGGCATTTTACTAGCAATTACTTGAAAGGAGTGCATTGTGATTTATATTATTTCATGACACTAAAGATATAAAATAAATAACCATTTAGTTTTTTTACAAGCTTCTTTGTGGCTACTGCCAGACTGGCCATAATCTATGGTAGTAGCATAAATAAAAACAAACATGTTCCAGTATTGTCCAGCCTAACTTTCTACTTGCTTCTGAGTTCATCTATTTTATGAAGCAAAACATAGCTTACAAATGATATGGCCTGTTCTTAGCTTGGAAATTGTTCACAGTTTCGTTTTCTGTGAAGTTGTTTCTAGCTATGAGAATGCCATGTCAGAATATTGGAATTTCTTTTGCTTCTGTGTAACTGTTACTATGTTGAATTGGGAGTCCCGCTGGTTAGCTGGGAGGCTGCTACAGCCGTCAGGGGAAGTCCAGGCCACAGTCTCTCCCCAGATGGTGGCGTGGCATCGCCTGTCTTTTTGTAGACCTGACTCAGTGTTCCAGGGATTACCAGTTCAGGAGTAGCTTGTAATAAATTGCAAACTTTTACAAAAATAAAGATGAATTCTTCGCTGAGTGAATATCTGCTATCCCGTTCTTGGACTTTCTTTGCCAGACAAGTACTGTTGATAGGTGAGCTGCTTGGACTCAGCCCCAGTGAGAGAACATGTTTGAGGACTTCTGAATATGCTGTGAGCTAGGGTTTGTTTATTCCTAAATATTACTTTGCTGTTTCCCTAAACACAACTGTTGATAGCTGATGTTAAAAGGGATTAAATATTTGTTGCTTAGTCAAATCAAAAGATACATTCAAGCCTCCACTAGGTGCAAGGCATTCAACTGTGAGATGACTCTGTCGTTGCTTACTTTCCCAGAGGGAGAATTTTCATCACTATTATTTATGGTTACTTGTCTTATACAGGCATACTCTTCTGATTATTCTTTGCATTGAAACTGAAATCAGCTCTTAATAAAAAGGAACAGATAAGTTTCTGTGCTGACATGACTAAGAACTGTCTAGAATTACAGCCGAGGGAAGTAGATTCTGGGGTTTTGAACCCCTGATATTTACGTACTTATTATCTGTATCTGGCAGTTGGCATTCTTGCTGCATTGCCTCTTGTTATTTCGTAATGCATGCCTTATTTTCTCAGTCAGATTGCACGTTACCTTACAGTAAGCAAGCTTCTTGGTTTATAATTCGTTGTCTCCGCCACAACATGCCATGAATGTCGTAGGAGCTTTTGTTCATTGAGTGGATTACTCCAGATGGTGGATCCTGGTGTCCCTTTATTGTTGGGTTATAATTTCTGTGAACTGTGAAATCAAGGTATTCTTACGGCAATTTCAAAGTATCAACAGGCCTTTGCTCCCTTTGCCAGTCCCAGGAAGAGAAAATGCTTCTTCATGTAGTGAACTCAAGACAGTTATTGAGTAGAACTCAGCCGCATGCTAATGTTGGGTAGACAGTTTCACCTTTTCTTCTCTTCTGGTTTCTACTTTTAGACTTGGAAGTCTCGATGACCAGGGCTCATGTAGCACCAAGGCTGCAGCTGCCTTTGACTAACTTAGCCAGGAGTTTCCAGGCTGACACCTGTGTTTCCTTTCTCCTGGGGAGGAGAGGCTCTGAGAGGACATGCTGCTATAGTACTTCTTGTCCTCCCTGACCTCTTGTCACAGGGAAAGTACCTCGTTAAACACATTTACAGCTTTCTGAATTTTCTGTGCTTCCTGAGAAATCTCAGGTTCCAGAAGCTACTTTTCAAAAGAAAAATATAGCCAAGATTCTGGAGAACTTGCCAATTTATTCCTGCCTTTGATCAGTTGAACAAGAAATTACTGTACTACTTTTTTCAATGTGAGGGAATTTTCTTAGTTT